GGTGGCCACGGGTGTGGTGGACCTCATGTGATACCTGCTGACGGTTTTCACCTATTACGGTGACAGATACAGTACCCAGGGCTCGATCCCTAGACCTCCCCTTTACCCGTGTATAGTACCCCGTTGACCCGTGTGTTTGATCCCGTGACCTGTTTCCTGAAAGCCGTAGGGTCGCCTGTTGTATATAGGGCGGTCACAGGGTTTTGACTCGTAGACCTTAGACTTAGTGGTCATAGGTTTACTATAGGTCGTAGCTGCTACAGTTCCGAAGCGTCAAGACTAGGACCTTCTAGACGCGCCGGAACTGGCTTTTCACGAGTCTTAGGAGGCAGTTCGCGGCTGAGTCAGCGAGGAGCAGTCCTAGTACAATCAGCAAAGGGCAGTCCCAGTCCTACTTAGTCCAATCAGCAGTACCCAGTCCCAGGTTGCACTTTGTCCTGTCAGCAAGTACCATGTGGGACTGTGCACACCCCGGGCCCAGGGTCCAAGGGCAGACCTACGACGATCCGATACAGCTAAGCTTCCAGATCTCACTAAGACTCCTACGCTATAGACCTACAGATCGAACCCCTGCTGTCTATGGACCTACGACAGGTCTACCAACTGCCTACGAATAAACAGGTCGTAGGTTCAATTCTCGGGGTCTACACAGATACTGTACATGGGTAGGGTGAGGTCTAGGGATCGAACCCTGGGTACTGCATCCGCTACTGCTAAAAGGTGAAAACCGTTTCACTCCCGCCGTCCTAAATTCGAGGTCCTCCGAGAAAATTTTAGTCCAAGGCAGGACCTTTACCTTTCTTGTCACGCTCATAGGCCCTGACTATGTCGGGAGCGGTCTCTAGAAGTTCTGCTTTCGTGAACCAGCGGTCGTCTTCTGGTTCCTGATAAGCAAACCGGACCTTATACTGTTTCTGGGGACGACCTCTACCTCCTGTCCTAAACACAACCGGCTGTACGCGCGAGAGACCTGGCGAAGCTAGCCGCTTCGTCCTTCAGGGCCTGGAAAGCCACGAGGACTTGCTCCTTTGTTAGGATATGCTGCAAGTAAATATAACTGTTGACACTGGCTTCCCAGTTGTCAAAGTTTTCTTCCTTCTTCCCCCCGTAGAAGGTAGGCAAGTGGGCAAGTGGTCAAGTGGTGAGGCAAGTGGTGGACTAAACCGCAGTGCAACAGCAGTGCAACGGCGGTAGGATAGCGGTGAGTCCACAGTCGGTCAATGGAAGGTCCAGTCAGTCCCAGTCCGGTCCAGCAAGTACCACAGGGGGACTGTAAGCACCAAGGGCCGATGGCAAAGGGCAGACCAACGAGTTTCTGAAGTATAAATCAAGAGGCAGCGCCCAGCCATTCATTCATTCCTGCGTGAGCCATGCGGAAGCGCTGCCACAACAACTTGTGCAAGGAGGTCTGCAGATGAGCCCGGAGGACGTAGTGGGCTAGAGAGAGGGAGTTAGCATAGCGATAGGGTAGATGCAGCGACAACTGCCATAGCTGTAGTTAGTAGTGAGTGTGTGTGTGTGTTCGAGTGTTAGAGTGATGCGTGTGGGATATCCAGGGTGATCCAGTGTATGTGAACAGTGAGATGTTTGGGCGCTGAAGTCGCCATAGCCAATTGAGAGTGAACTCGTATCTGAAAGCCATACATCTGAGTTTTGAGTGGGCGCATTTCGCCAGTATGCTGCGTTGCTGTTTACATGCATGAAAAGTGTGTTTGAGAACGAGTCTGATTGCAGAAATTACAATTCCTGTTTGAAGACATTCGGTCCAATGGCTGGCCTGCAACTCGAGGGTCAAGGCCCTCCAGTCTAGCGGTCTAATTAAGGATCACTGATCCTCAATCGTCAACGCCAGCTGACCGTCGAGGACCAATTACCACTTCAATTTTTTTTATTTTTTTTTTAACGTCTGTGTATTTTTTCTCGCCTCACATATTTTAACTGGCATTCTCCCATGTCATGCAACATATATTTTTCCTTTCACAACCTACCACTACTCCTAAGGCTATACAGGGCACCCCTGCAAGCATAGCTTTCGACATCTGTCTTACTGCCATCCAATTGCAAAAAGAAATGAATGAACTTCAGAGGAGAGAGAGGGGAAGAAGAAGACGATGATCTACACCAGCAAAGACCAACGATAATTCCCTTCTTCTTCGCCAACCACTCTCGTCCTCCTCTCTTATTCAAACAAGAAATAATAATAATAATGTTGAATGGCTGAACCAGAATCAATGTCCGAATCCCTCTTCTACTGCACGTATCACATGAGGTCCACCATAGTCGTGGACACCCTTCCTCCTCTTTTCTCCACGGCCGAGGCTATGACGGACTACCAGGGCATTGCCCTGCTATGCAAAGAACAGCACAAAGCAGCTATACATCCTCTAGCTCAGGCCGCCATGCCTGACTCTGCCTCGAAGCTTCTTGGTGGTAGCTCTACCCCAACTGGGGCCTTCCGGATGCAGCGCCCACCAAGGTGACGAAAATGACATCCACCATAGCTTGGTAAGTACCTCTAGCGCTCTCCCTCTTTGTTACATGCCCAGTTGGGCGTTGTACATACAAACCGAGGATCCGCAATGTGATAAAAAGGACTGAATGGACAATGTAGTGCAAGTGGAATCTCAACAAGCAATGTGCATTCGGATACATACAAAATGGTGCTTTATAGCGCAGGGAAGACTTTAGATACAAGTCCTGACCTGACCGGGACTGACCTCTTTCACGTAGTACACGATAGCGAAGCAGGATGCTAGAATACAAATGACTAGCCCAATCAATGTTTCAACGCAGACCAAACATACATCATGCTCATCACACGGCGTGAAGGCGCCTGGCGGTTTACACAGGAAAGAGGCGCCAGGTCCAAACATACACAGACGAAGAGGAGGGGATCAAACAAAGAAGAGGAAGGGGGAGATGGGAAAGTCGTCAATACTAAGTCTCGTTACAAGTCCCAAATAATCCCTCTTCAATATGTTTGAAGTCCAATGTCGAGTCTGGATCCAAAGGTCGCCAAGCTCTCTCTCTCTCTCTCTCTCTCTCTCTCTCTCTCTCTCTCTCTCTCTCTCTCTCTCTCTCTCTCTCTCTCTCTCTCTCTCTCTCGTAGTCTGCTGATGC